CTCCTTTTTCTCCACATTCTCGCCAACACCTGTTGTTTCTTGAGTTGTTGATTTTAGCCTTTCTGACAGGTGTGAGGTGATATCTCATTGTAGTTTTGATTTGCATTTCCCTGATGAGAAGTGACAATGAGCATAATTCTTCAGCCATTGTTCAAATTACGTAAACTTGAAATGCAGTCAAGACCCAGTGATTCCTTCTAAGGAAGCAAGACTCGAGGTCCGGGGCAAAGATTAACTTTAGAAGTGGAATATTTGCATCATTAGCAAAAGGAAGCGTGGATAATTAAAATAGTCTGAATGTACAATTCACTTGACAGATAGTTACTGAAAGTGTACCAGGTAACAAGCACTAAGTTTTGTTTTCGTTTTTGTTTTTGTTTTTAATGAATAAAATTCTCAGAGTACCTTCTCCCAGACGGATAACCTTTAAACAATGATTTGAGTGAAAGTGTTCTTACTTGTAAGGTGATCCCCTGAAATACCCGTAGGAGAGTGGGACCGGGAAATAGGGAAGAAGCCAATGATTGGGCCAATTATGGAGCAAGTGATTGCTGTGGGCCACTAGCATTCAACCCTGATGAGTGAACTCTGGGAGACAGCGAAAAACGCACCTCCCAGTTGTCACCCACAAAGGGTGATTCTCTTCCAGCTCTCGTCATTGGCTGATTCATTTGTCAATCCTTGACAGTAAGATTTCTACCACTCCGCTAAAATTATTTTCTGTATGGTCTTCAGGGAATTCTGTGTGATCCAAGCCAAGGGATACTTTTGGCATGGGCCTTGGGGAGTCTGACTGGTTCCAAGCCCTGGCGCCTGCGCTCCCTATCGATATGACCTTATGGCCCTCCTTTCAAGCAGTCTGTTTCTTCCTCCGTTCAAGGAGGAGAAGTGGCAGCAACAGCAGCAGCAGCAGCATAAACAGTAATACCTACCTCATAAGATCATCATGTTGATTAAATGAATTAACGCTCGTATAGAACTTAAAATAGTCCTTTAATCAGTGGAGGTATTCGGATAAATGTTAATTATTCTGATTTTTATTACCTGTTGTGACACTTACGGCATTTAAAAGTGTCAACCACTCTTGCGTTTTTGAAATCCTTTCTTGCCCGTGTCTTTATGACAGTACCCTTTGCAAGCATTCCCCCTACCTCTCTAGCCATTCATTCATCTTCCTGGCTACCTCGGCTCTGTTCTGTCTTTACGTTCCGTCATGCGTTTTCCAGGACTTCGTCTTTAACCCTCTGTTCTGTTCGATCGATTTACATACCGTATCAATGAGAATGCGTTCCCATTGATGTCTTCACTGCTTCTCTGCAGTAATTTATAATCTGGGATTTCTCTCCCAAAATACACAGCTGTGCCATTGCACCTTCATTCCAAGTGACTAAAACCTCCCAATGGATAGGCCTAAGATTGAACTCATTATCTTTTCCCCAGAACCGTTCATCCTTTATTCTTTGGGTAGACAGTGGCCAACACCTTTATATGGCAGGCACCAACTAGAGACCGGGGAATCTGTCTTGACTGTTTTGTTTCCCCACCACTTAGCATAATGCCCGGTGTCTAGCAGATGGTAAATAAAATGGTGACTGGCAGGCTAGACGAACAGACTGTTGGTTTGGGGTGCTTGGAGGGATAGATGGATGGTTGAGTGAGTCTGTAGCCGGTACATTTATTTAGTTAAGTATTATCTGATGATCGCATACAGTTGAAGGTCAAGGATGAGAAAGCACACCCTTAGTGGGATGCACGCACCAAAGAACCATTTTATCTTGCCACATTGCACACGCACCACCCCTTTGGGATGAGCACTTTGATTGCTGTGACTCAACAAACATTCAAACGGTATGATTGAGATAATGATCTGGGTTGTGAAAGTTTCCTCCTTTTGGCTCAATGAAGACATATATACCCATATAATAGGAAGAACTATCTTACTTCTTCCTCATAGGACGGCCTATTCAAATATGGAGATTATGTCTGCCCTACTGAAATGAACTATAAGATGTATGAAATATTCACGGGCATGATTGCAAATGGCTTACCATGTTTATATCAAAAATACGAGGCATTTAAAATTTTGCTAGCGTAATAAAATGTCACTAATCAAGGCTGATTAATGCAAAGGCAAATTGGAATCAGAGACTTTTTAAGGAAAGCCAATTTTATTATTTTCAAATGCATATAGTATATAAAAATGGGCTAAGAAAAAAAGGTGCCAAGTATGCATAATAAAATAACCTGCTACGATAAGTGGAAAAATTGGTTCGTAATTGGAATATCAGTTATTTCTATGATTGATGGGGAAATATTTCAGAACATGTTAAGGCGTATTTATTTATATTTTCCACAGCTTTCTTATAAGAGCATTTATACTAGTCATTTTGCAAACTAAAGATTAAATAGAAGACTACTTAATAATTATATATCTCAGGGCACCTGGCTGACTCAGTCAGGGGACCATGCAACTTTTGATCTCGAGGTTGTGAGTTCGAGCCCCACGTTGGGTACAGAGATTACTTAAAGCCTGTTACAAATAAATAAATAATAACTGTAAATCTCAACTATGATAGGTACCGCACTACCTTGTGGGGCAACAACAGTGATGAAACAAACACACAAAACAGAATGGGGCTCAAAGATCAGAGAGAGAGACTGACATTTAAAACAGAGGTTCACATGTTACACACGCAAACAGAAACAAACCCAATAAAAACAATCATGCGTAGGGGCGCCTGGGTGGCTCAGTCGGTTAAGCGGCCGACTTTGGCTCAGGTCACGATCTCACGGTCTGTGAGTTTGAGCCCCGCGTCGGGCTCTGTGCTGACGGCTCAGAGCCCGGAGCCTGTTTCAGATTCTGTGTCTCCCTCTCTCTGACCCTCCCCTGTTCATGCTCTGTCTCGCCCTGTCTCAAAAATAAATAAAATGTTAAAAAAAAATTTTTAAACCCCAATCGTGCATAATGAAGGCGACTTACTTGGTTTTGCCTACTCCAGGTCCCAGATTCTTGATTTCATGTCACAATCACTAGTCTTGTAGGTTCTGTCTAGTTCTGATGCTTATTTACAGAAAATCTCAAGCATTTCTTTAACTCCTGAGTTCTCCTAACTTAACGGAGCCAACAGCAGGGTTAATGAAGAAGGTCTAAACTTAACGTCGTGAAGTGCAATTTTACAGTACTGTTCTGTGTACATTTTATCTCTATCCATAGCCCCCCTTGCCCTTCTCTCCTGTGGTCTCTACTCTGAGGGGCAGATCTGTGTCACCATTGGGCTCCCATGCTCTCTGCCTTCCGGTTGGTTTACCCACTCGGGAGACCTGTTAGGAAAAGCGAAGAGAGCAAGGGCAAAGTGAGATCAGGGTATTTATTCTCCTGGTTCCTTCCAGGGAAGTTGCCTCAGGCTGACAGTGTCCCTTGAGAAAAGATTACCGCGCCTCTCAAGGTGGTTTCTCCTGGTGATTCCCAGCTTCTGGACACTTCTCCCTCCCCTGAATTCTTGGTCCCAGATGTAGCCAACAGCTCCAATGCCTCAAGGTCCAATTTCCTGTATTATTTTTGGTGACTTTCGTTTACGCTGATTATGTTCTAATTTGTTCCTTTGTAAATAAATCTCCTAGATTATCCAGGCCAGATCACAGAGGAACATGTATGTCAAGCTAAGATATTTCAGAGGACAGTAGGGAGGCATTGAAGGGTTTAAATGAGGGATTGGGGTGATCATATTTATATTAGTTATTGCTCTCTCTGTAGTGTAGAAGTTGTGTTACAAAACAGACTCGAAGCAGTGGGGCCATACGGTCTTTTGCAGGTATGTAGGTGAAAAATGACAGAGCTTTGCAGTGGGAATATGTAAAAAGTGGGAAGGAGTTCTGTATGAGAGAATTTGGTAACCGCCTATGTATGGTATTCATCGAGACTTAAGGAAACATCTAGAATATTTGTCAGGTTTTCCTCATGGGATAAAGTTGGTAGTGGTTTTATTACTTATTTTCTAGGGCATTGTTTGTATTTTATGAAATGAGCTTCAAGAAAAGATAATGTGGTCCTTAAAAGAAAAAGACGATGTGGTATGTTTGTTTTTAATATATTAAAATAAAGTACTTCAGAGAAGAATTAATAGGGCATCTCCATCTTGGACTCACAACGATACCAAACAAATTGCCTCAGGATAAGGCTGTCTTACAAAATATAATCAGCATGGATCCTTAGATATTGTTACATTTCCAGGATGCCTATCTGCTCTTGGGTTGCCTCAGAAGAAGACCCCAGGAAAAGGTTTTGAGAGTGCATGGTTTATTTGGGAGTTGAGGGAAACAGCCAGTAAGGCAGGTAGGCAAGTCAATAAAAGATGGTGCGTTAACAAGCAGGTTCCTTCTTTGGGTCACTGGAGCTTTATCCCACTAGGAAAACTCTGGAACCCTTGTAAAACACATGCTCCCCAGTTACATACCCTGGTATGAATGGGACTCAAATACTCATGCCCCAATACCTACCATCGCTTCTTCCTTACAGGCTGCTCCTGGGAGGTGGGGCGACGGGAACCATCAACTCCCTGGTAGATCTGGCCGGCCACTCAGATGGCAAAACAAATTCTTTGGGGCCCCACAAAGCCTTTGAGGAATGAATTTCCAATGACAGTGTCAGAAGTCAGGTTGTTGGGCTCTCAAGTGCTAAGGGCAAGGCAATTCAGGCGTTCTGCTATCGTACCTTTCTAAATGATTATTCATATTTGACTCTGGGGATTGGGAACAAGACAGAGCTGAATATTTACGTATACTACTGATGTTCTAGGTCACCTTCAGGAAGATAACTTAACCTCCTGTTTGCCACTGAACAAGAAAGGAATTCGATTGTCCCTTATCCTAGCTGTAACACAGTGAACAATGTTTTAAATGAGTACTAGAAACGGTGGGGAAATCTTTGAATGTTAAAATTCAGATATCTTCTCCAGATCTGCATTCACTCCTATATATTCATTTTTTTCCTTTTATTCCAGTTGAAAGAATTCAGAGTCAGTGGGATGAAGTACAGGAGCACCTTCAGAACCGGAGGCAGCAGTTGAATGAAATGTTAAAGGATTCCACACAATGGCTGGAAGCTAAAGAAGAAGCTGAGCAGGTGCTGGGGCAGGCCAGAGCCAAGCTGGAGTCATGGAAGGAGACTCCCTACACAATGGATGCGATCCAAAAGAAAATCACAGAAACCAAGGTTAGTATCACAGATATGTCCTTAAAATAAAATACCAGTGGTACTGGATAAAATTATAATATGGATGAAAATTGAATGCTTTTTAAGGTAAACGTATGAAAAGAAAATTGCGTTTAGGCTGAAATGAACAGTAGACTTTTCAGCCAAGGTAGAGATTAGAGGAGAATTGATGGCTAATAGCAAACTTAAAATTAATTTTGTTTAATCGGGATATCATCGGCTGCTTTTCATAGTATACCATTTTTTGAGATCACTTCATAGCTGATGTCCAGACTTATGTGGTAGCATGAAGGCAGGGGGTTGGGATTACTTCCTTCGTAGAAAAAGGAACAGGTCTACTCCTTCCTAAGTAGGGCCCTGAGTGGAGAAGGGAGGAGATGTGTAAGGCAAGGCAAGGGTAAGGTGTACTCTCACTTTCTCCTCCAGGTCTTTGACCTCCAGACCAATCTCTCTACTTCTTTGTCTTCCTTCTCTTCTTCCTCTTCTTTCCCCCCAAAACTCCATCATGTATCTGTCCATCTCATGATCTAGAGCTCTCTGGGATACAAGAAAGAGAACTGGGAAAGGAAATAATATTTGTTTAATGGCCATGTTTTATCAAGCATCACGCATGGTGCTTTCGATGCATTTTAATTCTCTCCAACCCCCTACTTATGGGTCAGTTGGGAAAGACCTTAAATGCTAAGCAGAGAAGTAGCACAGTGGGAACTTGATTAGATTGAATTTTTGATTAAAACCCTCTATAGAGTTTTTTTTTCTGGTGGAAAAAGGCCTTCTGCTAAACAATTGTCTGAATCACAAATTAGCTATGTCATCTGAGAAAAAGAGCCTTACATTGTGGTTTTCTTGGATGAAGTGGCTTCCATTTCTAAATTAGTCAGTGTTTAGGCTGTGCCGAGCTACATAGCATATGTGTTTGTGCTAGGTTTATTTAAAAAATAAACCCTGATTTCTCAAGAATTTAATATAATAATGATTAATTCCTTGGTTGTGTCATAGTACAGTGCAGGTTGAAGAGTCCTTCCTGGGAGCGCTCTCATAAATAGTGACTTGAGGAATCCAGGCTTTTCCAATTTTGTGAAACTGTCATCTTGAACTCATGGCTGCCCCAGGTCACTGCAGGAGAGTAAGAGAAAACGTGGCCAGTTTATCCATGGGGTTCTATGGACAGGCCTGGAGATTATGTACATCATCACTTCCACCCACATCCCATTGAGCAGAACGTGCTCCCAATTTAACATCAGGAAGAGTAAATGGGAAAAGTGAGCTAGTGAGTTTTTAGCCAGACTCTGCCGTAGCTACTTCTCCAAAGGACCTGAGCTGCTATGAGGACAAGATTTTTGTTTACATGACAAGAATGTTAGAAAGTCCCATAGGATTCTATAGGCTTATCATTAGCTCTGTTGGAAGCAATTGTTTCTTTCACGTGGTAGGTACATGTGGCCACTAAGATTTTTCTCCTTGGGGTGTACATAGAAGATGTAGGAATTTCTAATGATGATGTTCCCAATTCTTGGTTTGACTATGGGAAATATAGAATTCACGTAGCTACTCTTGAAGGCTGTGGTCTTACCCATAAGGTACTCGGTATGCTATGCGATTTGCTTTTCCTCTCCAAAAACTGAGGATTCTACGAATCTAGCAGATCTTGAAACAGAGGGGTTAACTGGTAGAGAGGAATTAACAAGGGAAAAGAGTTTGGACTGGACCCTTGAGTTGGAAGAGGGGAAGAAGAGATGACAGGCATATAGTGATAAATTTGATGAGGACAAGAAGACTCTGCAAGTTGGCACATGAGAAATCTTAAAACCTACAAGAATCTTAAAGTGATGGCAAGAGTGATTAGGGTTTTATAGCTCTTAGAAAAGCAAGGGGCTTAAAAATAAGAGAAGAAAAGAGTTGCAAAAGAGAATATGAAAGGATAAAAGAAAACAATTTCATCGTCAAAATATGTAATGTGTTTTAAATACCTAAAACAGAGACAAGATGGTATTATAATCGCTCTCCTTGTCATACTTTTAAAATAAAAATTTTGCTTTTGAATTGTCTTTCTAAAATGTCATGATAAAAATGGCTCAGCCGTTATCTATAGAAACTGATGTTTTTGTTTGTGTTATATGTTCAGGAATTAAATTATATATATATATATATTGGGGCGCCCGGGTGGCTCAGTCGGTTGAGCGTCCGACTTCGGCTCTGGTCACGATATCACGGTTTGTGAGTTCGAGCCCCGCGTTGGGCTCTGTGCTGACAGCTCAGAGCCTGGAGCCTGCTTCAGATTCTGTGTCTCCCTCTCTCTCTCTGTCCCATCCCCACTCATGCTCTGTCTCTCTCTGTCTTAAAAATAAATAAAACATTAAAAATAAATAAATAGATTAATTCATTAATTAATTAATTATATATAATTTCAGTGTAAGTTCATTATATGAAGATGACCAAAGCTGTAATTTTCACATCCATTTCATAAATGACATATGCTAAAGCTAAAAGTAATTCAAGTGCTAATACTAACATTTGGCTAGTACTTGCTCTTTGTCAAAAATTGTGCTAATCACTTCACATATATTGGCTTATTTCACCATCTCAAGAACCTTCCATGGAGACTACTATTGTTCCCTATTTACAGGTGAGAAAATTGAAGGCCAGAGAAGTTCAGAAACTCCTCTTCAAAATGACAGAGTTAGGATGTGAATGCATAGCACTTACTCTTGTAGATGACCTCACATACGTTCTCTTCTACCCATTGTCTTCTATGTGGCTAAGACAAATCAAGAAGACACTGTAAAGATCAGAAAGGGAGACACCTGTCATTATGAATTGACCAATAAGATCGTATAAGCCAACAGGCAGAAAATGAAAATAATGAAAATAGTATACAGGGAACAGGTTTTCATATTCTGTTTTACTATGAAAAGCTAAAAAGACAATTGCAAAGTATATCCCCTTTTTTAATGGAACTACAATTTTTAATTCTTCTAAAAGTCAGAGAACATAGGGCTGCCCGGGTGGCTCAGTCGGTTAAGTGTCTGACCTCAGCTCAGGTCGTCATCTCATGGTTCATGAGTTCAAGCCCCACGTCGGGCTCTGTGCTGACAGCTCAGAGCCTGGAGCCTGCTTTGGATTCTGTGTCTCCTTCTCTCTCTCTGCCCCTCACCCACTCATTCTGTGTGTGTCTCTCTCTCTCAAGAAAGGAATAAACAATAAAAAACATTTAAGCGTCAGGAAGCATATAAAATGGAGATCTGGCCCTGATGTCCAATATGTTTCACTACTGAGTGGTAATAGTTGGCTTATCACTTACAATCGCCTTTTATGAAGAGAGGGTAAAAATAGACATAAAGAGGCATTGGATAATTTGAGCAGGATCTCCTTGCTCCATAAACCCTTTCGGAGTCTATGTGCCTAAGATCAGAAGCGAGCTGGTGAGCCTGGTGAGGCAGTCATCAAGCTGTGGCTACAGAGGTGGAGAGCTGTGATTGAAGCAGGCAGCCTCCCTTGCAGCAGCCCTCACTGTCACAATGCAACGGTTTCAAAGGCAAGCCCTAGTAGGATTCTACTCTGAAAATTTAAGCCCGTCGCCTTACCTGAACTAAAGAAAAATTCGTCTACCATTCTGATATTTTGATGATTCATAATTGCTCATCTTGGCCCCTAATCTCTGCCATTTATTGTCTACATATCTTACTTGTCCTGTAATGTGGACAAAATTTGGAATTCTGATTTCAACCTTGGTATCATTGTATAAATATTTATATGTATTTCTCTATATAACGTTTAATAATGATCATTTTAAATTATTTTCAATATCTCATTAAGTCCCGTCCTTAACCACTTCCTTACCGATTGGACATTCAGGCAGCCTCGTCCTCTGGGTTAAAAAAAAAAAAAAAAAAAAAAGTAGTGGAGACAAAATGGGGACAGTAATCACCCCTTCACAGAATAGGAATGAAATCTGAGATAACATCTGGGGAAAGTCCATCTTGAAAGCAAGCTGTGGATAGCCCATCATGTCAATAAGTAGTCAGCAGGTGGTTAAGAGATGCCCATTGTATACGTATAATTTCTCTCCGGTATATCCCGTAACTTTTTGGAAACAAAAACATAATGGGAGTTAGCAGTTGATTTTGTTCACCACCTGACTTCAGTTGACCTTCTCCATGGCCCTAATAAAACAATAATGTTTTTTTGAGATGGAAAGACAGATGTCAGGGAAAATCATACAGGATTTCCATTCTAATCAAACTCCCTTCCAGTAAGCTATAACAGAATCCTATGAGAGATGCTGCCATTTAACTTTCATAAGCAGTAAGATGGTGTGACATTGGCACCTAAAACTGCTAGCAGTGGTCATCATGGGACTATTAAGATCGGTCCAAACGTGGCAATGAATTCTTTGGAAAAATTATCTCTTGGTGATTTTAAGCTTTCTTTTCCAGTGTCAAGAGAGATTTACCCAGGCTCAGAGTTTTCATTTATTTTTTCCCCTTTCAGCTTTTGAAAGAGAAATTCCTTTTTTGTCTGCTTTGTGATTGCTTTTGTGTCAAATTCAGCATAAAAGCCTTTCAAATGTGACGGCATTAGCTGTTTTGTGCTTGGCTGAGCTAAGAGTACATGAATTCAATAGAGAAGTGAAATCTTGTTTGAGCCTAGCTGATTTGGCTCTATAATACTTAAAACTATCTGAGGCGAAAAATCCAATAATTTATCAAATTAGTAAATAAACATTTCCAAGGCTGCAAAATAGATGTTTTGAAGACGTTCTTTAGGGAACTTGAAACATAGATACACTGTAATCGTGTAACTACTTTAAAAAGTTGTCCTTATTATATATAGTAAATACAGTAGTTCTTTGAGGGTCTCCAATTATTTTACTAGGAAAGAAGCCGGTGGAGAGCTTTTTCAAATATGGAAGTAGAACATTGTAGTTTTAATTATTTGGGGGGGTAATGGGCGGTATTAGACAATATCCTAACCTGCCATAAGGATACGCACAGTAGTGG